TTTCCGGATAGAAACCCCGAAAAAAGTTTTATTTCCTGATTCTAACTTATTGTTGCAATCTCGAATGATTATCTCGCTGGATCAATTTTCGAGAAACTGGTGAGGAGGCAAGATCAAATATGAAACTAACATGTGAAAATGATTTAATGAAAAAACTTCACGGGTGTTAAATTGAAACTCTCATAATAATCAGTCATATCTAAGGTAAATTTGGTGATCGCGTTTGCTGGAACATCAGATAGACTCAAATTTTCCGACGGTGAGGTAAGCTTATGAAAAGATTTCCTACTCCTCGATCTTGACTCGCACTGGTATTGTAGGTATTCTTGTGGTAATTTTATGGAGAAACAATTAGAAATAATAGAATTCTGAAGGAAATTTTGGAAAGGATTCTGGTGCTTGGGTAGAAACAAGAGGTTAGGAAAAAGTCATTTAAAATTCGTGTTTTAGTGAATTTGTTTAGGAAAATGTTTTCGTGCTTCGAGGGAGAAATAAAAATCGTGATTTTAGAATGATAAAGAAAAAAAAAAGAAAAACGTAGCAAAAAAGAACGTTCATGCAAATAGTATATAGTTTCGTTTATTAAACAATGTCTTCACAATCCGTAAGATCAATTAAGCGTGAAATGAGACTTCAAGCTTTTTCACATTAAAAAGAGGCTAAACCCGAACACAATAGTATTATCATAGCAAAGGGCACGACAAAATAAGAGTACAACTTTCAGCATTATATTAGCACCAGGTAAACTGCTCATGCGCAATAAAGCAACGCTCGAAGACATACATAATACGTCATGCGAGATATGGAAGTTTGAGTCTGGCTATTCGTAATTAATAATTACCAATCGACTCACAAGCAGGCGATCTCTTTAAGCAGAGTAACATTTTTCCCTAGTTTTTTGTTGTTTGTGTTTATCACATATAAGGCAAATAAGGAGCTATTCTCTTTAAAGAATACTGCTTTGGTGTTTATGGTGAGTTGACAAGTTGAGAGGTATTATGCCTATATTTGTTGTCATAAATTTCTAGTCAATGCCCGATATAATCATCTCTACATTAAAACAAATACCAAAAGGAAATATATAAGAAACTGAGGTGCAAATTCCCTTTCTATACAATACGTCCATATGTACTCGAAATGCCCTCAAAATCCCTTTAAAAAGCCTTCACAAAAGGCCTTATCTATAAAGGCCTTAGTGATTATTTTCGGAATTTTACCATATCCGCACGTAGTTCCCTTCTTGTAATAGACCTGGAGAGGCGAAGATGCCTCACAAAGAGGAACGTATAAGGATCACTTTTCTAGATAGCCAGTATAGCTTATAATATCATATATGAGAGTTCACCTACACCCATGTATGCGGTGTTCTCTGTAAGTTGAACGCGGTAAAGGCATTTGAATAATGACCAATAATCAGTCTCAAAACTTTAAATAATTTATTATGATGTTGTTGTGCTAACATTTTCAGACTCTCTGGTCAAATCTGAGTGCAAATTAGAGCAGAACAAGAGTTGTTTTCCTGGTAAATACTTTCATGTTACGCCGAAAAAGCAGAATTCCATCAAGAAGTATCAGTGTATATGAAAAATAGCTCTAAATGTAGACTTGAACATGGACATAATCTAGAGACAACGGTCATTAGTTTTTAATGTCTTTACTGTATAAGATATAACACTTATTTACCGGCGACATTGCTTGTGATTAAAAAACTGATTGTGAGAACTAATTATAAAAAGATCTTAATCCAAACTCTCCAGTAAGATTTCTCTAGACAAAACAAACCGCTCTTCATTGATTAAAGTTTGATACTTTTTTCGCGAGAATAAATTAAAAACAACATTGAAATTGCCAAAACCTCATTTTGGGTTTTTGAAATCAGACTGATTAATTTTTGACACAGAAACATTTAGAGTTTACGTCTTTCTGAAAAAAAAAATGTCTTTCCGTTCCAAAAACCAGGAAGGAGTATGTGCATTTTTAGATCATTCTCGAGTCACGATACTGACAGCCAGTATCGAAATGTAATCAATCAAAGGGATTATTTTCTCAAAAGTAAATATGAGGATGGAAGGTGTTTTGATCGTATATCTTCCAGTACTTGTATAAAGCGTAAAAGCATGGTCCAGGTTAAACATCAGACTTTATGACATGCATGTTTTTAGCATAGAAGGCTTAAAAATTAACGATGGTTATCCCAGACATGATTTTGTTGAAACTTTACAATTACACCTGAAAACTCTAAGATAACAAGATACACAAACTACAGCTGCAGGCTTAGAATTCTTCGTTACTGAAGCAGCTCCACTAAATAAATCTATAATAATAATAAATAAATAAATAAATAAAAAACGTCAGGCATTAAATGCACCTTCCTAATCAGGATTTCGGGAAGAATTGGATAATTTTGTTGGAAAACCTGGCTAAAGGCTAAGCATAGGTTGCTTTTTTACCGTTTACTAAGTTGCTAGAAATGTGAAATTGTATCTTTTGGAAGTTTCTTCTCGTGGTTGAAGGCTGGATTGCACTCTGTTATATACGTCGGGGATAGCAAAGGTAGCTGGCCAAGGTTAGTTTATAGGAGGTGCATGAGATTTGCACCAAAGAGAGTGCTGGTCTAGATAGGGCCGGGGGACAACCTCACTGATCTCGCATTTCGGTATTTAATTCGCCGCATAGGCAGGCTAAAAAGAGTTAGAAGATCACATTGGCTGGCTTCGTTGGGCATTGTTCGCCTCCTATACTTTCTGGGTAGTGGTAAACCACCTTTCCTTTGAAGAGAGGATTGGATAAGTTAGCCCAATTCCAATTATATAACTCCAGCCCTATAAAATATACTGGATTACATGCGCAGGAAAGGATTGGGCGAATAGATATCAATCCATCAATGAAAACTTCGGTCAGTAGTGTCCCTGGGGCGAAAGTTACTTAAAATTGTCCCTGAGACCAAATAGGCGTCGCTTATCAGTGGTAGAGGCTAGTGTAAACAAAAGACTCTTGCATTCAACAAATGAAATTTCTTTCTGTTTCAAACTTTTTTCCCTTTATTGTCGTCACTGGAATACATGTCAATTTCTTGCACTTTTCGAGGTGCAAATATTTCTTCCTTTAAAGCACAACGTGATCGGACGGATTAAAACGTTTGAGAAATAAAATTAAGTGAAAGGGGACTCAAGACTATAAGTTTGAGAATAGCTTCGAATCATTGAGATTCTCTCTCATACTTTTTAAACTTAAATTTTTTTAGTGATTTCACACTTTAAAGGGCAGTAAAATATTTTATCCCTTAAATATAAACACAGTGTATTCTCGTTTATCATATATGTCTTGAGAGAAATTACTACACTCAAGTCTCCCTTGATTAATATTTGATGAGATCCAGGCTCGAATGATCCCCTCTGTTCTAGCTGATTTTGAAAGAAAAGACAGGCGTTTTCGAAGGACGTTTTATCAGTGTCAAGCCGCAAACAGCGCTCTTCTGGTAAGATTCTCTTTCAAAAAGCCATCAGATTGTTTTTTATTTCCCGCGGATCCCCTAATTAACTGAATTTTATAGTTAGTATCTAGTCTAGCGATAAGAAGGAAGTGGTATAGAAGAAAACTGGATATATAAAGTGGGGCATCAATATAGCAAACGTCTGTATAGCGTAGTCTTCGTTATAACGAACAATATTCTCCACCCCAGAAATAGCTGAATCTATGGAAAACAACCTCGATATAGCGAACAAATTTTGCCACTCCCATGGCCCTTCGTTGCATGGACTCAGTTCTATGTACTTTAGTCAGTTAAGTCATAGGCAAGGCGTAGGTGAGAAGGAGGTGATGTTTGTCAGATTTGGATTATCAGAGATCCACTTAGAATTGAGCATAATTATTCCAAAAAGTCTGAGTTAATTTTTAGCTCAAAATGATACACGCGATGGGTAAGTGCATCGGTGGAGTCAACACAAAGGCAAAAATAGACTATTACATTTTTCCTTATCTTTTGAAAAAATGACTTTGTAGCAATCCTTTTGTATAGAAAATCTCCCTGGTTTACTTTTTGACCGACTTGAAAGTCTTCCTTTTGACAATGGAATTGTTGATTTTTTTGCAGGCTTTCTTGCATGAAAAAGTTTTCAGCGGGTTACGTTGCTGTTGTTTTTGGTAATAAAAACGGCTGACTGTAGCTGAGAACAATATGGTTTAAACTATCAAGCAAGTCCTAAATATCTTTCACCCTTTAACTATGATTTATGAAAGAAGGGTCTCTTATCAAATCCTATAAGCCCATACCGAATCTGAGAGTAAGCGAAATTTGAGTTCTCGTTGCCTTAACTTTTAAAAGACATGACGGTGCTCCAGTATCCCATTGTTTGATTCTGCCAAGAATGGGTCTGAAATTTCGAGTAAAGGGCACCACTATCTTTCCGTTTTAAACTACTTGAAAACAACAAATTGCGATTGCTGTTTCTTAAAATAATAATAATAAAATAATGATTATGATAACGATGACGATAATGATAATGATAATGATTATACTAATGTTAATGATAACATGAACATTTTTTCACGATATATTATAATCTAAAGGACAAAGAAGCATTCAAAAAACATGTCTTGTGCAATGATTCAGTTTATATAACAGAAAGCATTTTCAGTTATGTTTACGTTATATATATTCTATGAATAAAAGTGAGGGGGACTAAAAGGTCGTATTGTCTGCAAATAAAAAGTTTAATGCATTCACAATTAGTGAACTTTCTTAGCCGAAGTTCGCGACTTACAAACCACCTGAGTTACTCCTTATACCATTAAAATATCAGGTATTTTGTTTCTTGAGTTTAAAATTGTATTAATGAAAAAAATTATCCGCTTAAGACGGCATGAGAATTATCAATAAGTACACTGAAAAAACTATCAAACTTTTCCCCAAATATTATACGTTATTACAAATTGTGAGCCTTTTATAAATGGCTCACAAAATATCGTAGTTTTAGCTGAATATCTTCATGAATATGTTGCACGCAATAACAAATCCATCCCTTATTGCGAATTCATTAAATCGCCTGATAGATTTTTTAAAGTGCTTACTTATTTACATTTCCTTAGGCTTAATACCTAATGCCTCGAAATCGTTTTTTTATTAATAGCTTGGGCAAAAATGCTTTTAAAACATTTTAACTATTTATTCACAATGGACGCAAATTGTAGTACAAGTATATGCAAGTCTGGAAAAGACAATTAAGACCAGTTCGAAACCATTAAATGTAGGGGCACACGCTTCAATAACCATCTCTCTTTTTTGCAGATTATTTCATAATACAGGGATCCAACATGAGGCTCAGATTCCTTTTTATGGTTTATATTACTGTTCTTGTCGGGCAGCCATGTCTCGTGGAAAGCATCTTTCTCCCATGGTCGAAAAGTAAAAACGATTCTTCCGATGGCTTTCGTATCGCAAAAGTACTTTTAGAACTGAATAAGAACATTCCAGGTAGTCCTTTTGGAGTAAACGTTACGTGGATGAAGAACATGACCAGCAATATCTCCGTAGACGAGCGATGCTTTGGAGAAAACGACATGCCATTATCGTTTGCTTTTCACAAGAATCATCCCTATACTTCTTTTCAAAACGCAAGAGAGCACATAGACGTAAAAGGCATGTTTCCTTCTTTGCTTTCGAACATATTAGACTATTGCTGTCATGGTGGCGCCAAGAAAGTCAAATTTGCCAAGCTCTTACGCACACCACTGGAGGCGGAAGATCGTTTTCTAAATGAGAACGTTAATGAATACGATTTCACCTTTTCGATCCACGCACCCTCTGATGCTCATTCATTTCGGGATTATCCATTCATCCCGCTAGTGCGGGCCCCCAGTGTGGTCTTTCTGGCGTATGATGGAAACGAAAGAACCAGCAAGACTCACGCCATTGCTACCACTATTATGAAGGCCTGGCCCATAATGGTGTTTATTCTTCTCACAGCAACCTTCTCTGGTATCATAATATGGTTTTTGGTGAGTTCAGGTTATTATATCAACATTACTTTCACCCCGCTTTCTCAAATCGCTCCTTCCCTAATTTTACAAACAAGTCGTTTTCGCCGTTCTCTACATTTATCGTACCCCGGGTTCCAGAGGATATTTTTTTCTTTCGATACTGATGGTTCGCGGCCAAGCTGCGTCAGCGAGGCACGCAGTGCCGCGGGGGCCTTATCAAACCGTAAGCATGGTTTATTTCATATTGGGTATTTTTAGAACGGACCTCTGGGTATATTTATTGCATTGCGATTATATGTTACTTATAATAAACGATTTCTATTTTTTTCTTTCATGGTGTGTCGAAAATTTATAGTTACTTTGTGTCGATTTGAAAACTGTACTAAATACGATTACAAGCTTTTAAATTTAATTTTCCGCCTCCTCTTTCACAAAAGATCTTAAAAATACTTCTACTGTAGTCATCCTTTTGGCTTTATAGGATCATCGTCAGAATCCTCAGGAGTTTCCTCAATCATTTAAGAAAGGAGTCTGGGAAGGGTTCTGGTGGGCACTGGTCACCATGACAACAGTAGGGTAAGTTTTTAAAAGGTGTTAAATTCTCTTCGGAACAACAAGAATGCACGGAATCGTTACTTAAATTTTTTTAATCTTTTCCTGTTATTATGTCTTTTGGTATGAAAAGACCTTATAAAGAAGTCTTTTTGGTGGCTTTCCACATGACGTAATCAAAATTCAGACTAAAGAATTATCGACTTTTTGTACTGCCCTGCACCTTTCATAAGGTATCAAAGCAGCTAAAAGCTATATTTACACAAATGTTCACTTCGATAGTGTTCTTAACGTTTTGAGATAGATTAACACACTGACAATGACTTATTCTGGGGATTTTGCCAGCTGAAAAGTCATTTGTATTAGAAACAGAATTACTTTGCTGTTTATGAGTTCCACGAAAGATGAATTCATGCTTTCATAGCAAAACCCAGTCAGGTGAGAGATGTTTGAGTTGGCTTCCGGCCGCCATGTTGATGCTAATCACTGGATTGGACCCAACATGGCGTCTCCATACAAAGCTCAAAAATTTGGGTAAATCATTTCTCTAAATATCTTGCATATATTAAGTTGTACTGACCTGAATCTTGAGGAGGGTCTTTACCAATTTACTTCGTCTAACTTCCCAGATTCTTAACTATATCTATTGAAACATTTTTTTAGTTTGTTTTCTGTCTTTGTTCGCTTGTTTTTTCCATTCCAGCAATAATAATTATAATAAAAAAGAACAACGCCTCAGTCACTTGACCAAGGTGGAGACAAGCTTCTTTTTGCTTGTCTTGATATGAATAGTTATTTAGGGGTGCTCCAACATCAAGTATTCTTTATTTTTCAATTGTCCACAGCTATGGTGATCGTTCCCCCAAGTCCACTCTCGGTCGTGTGTTTTGCATTTTGTGGATCATAACAGGCCTGATTATAATCTCCATTTTCATTGCTATGGTAACAGCATCGCTTGCAGCTACAACGCACCCTCACTTCCCAATACATGGGTCGCTGGTAAGATATGCTTGTTTTTTTTTTTTACGAGGCCAAACGAAGTTCATAACGATAACAAGGAGCATTGTTGGGTTTCATGACAGAGAATGCTCAACCGTTTTTCTGCAGACTTCCATTCGGGCAAACACCCTCAATTCTTACATCCGCATCGTACTTTACAGCTTCGATAGGTTCAAACTTAAAAGCAGGTGACACACGTACAAAAACCCATGGCCTGGCCAGTACCTAACGCATGCGTACATCCATGTCAACCGGGAATGCCATGCTGATGAGCTCTAATAACAGCGAAGCAGCTGTTCTATGGTTACCACTGCCTCCATATGGCCGTGGGTTGATGTGCGTGTCGATACGTGTGTCACTTTTACGTTTGTCCAATAGGTTGACTTTACGAATGTCATGTTTAACGTCACGTTTAATTTCTGGCGTTTTAAACCCCAGCGTACTCGTCTTACTCTTTTCACTGCAACAATTAGATCCGAGATGATGGTGAAGATCATCTGAGTGCAATAATTTGATGCATAGGCTTTGACCTTTTTTACGGGGCGCGATATATTATATTATATTATATAGTATATTAACTAAGTGACTCAGTGACAGTCCCTTCTCGCTGGATGGAATCAGAAGAAGGAAACCAGAAGACTTTTGAGAAGGTCTGACTGATAAAATTTTATAAAGTGCCTAGAGGCAAACCGTCGCCAAGAGGCTAGCCCTGTTCCACCAGAATTTCTTCGCCCGTCCCGAAAGATTTTCCCGGGGTCTACCACAAAAAAGGTGTCTCGTAGACGTTTTACTTTTTAACGTCCCACTGTGTGTGCCCCACCAAAGTCTAACCTATATTTTTAATAAGGCAAACTTTCTTCTTGACCCACTTTCCCCTTTGATATTAGACATGTGAATCAGTACTGGCGGTGACTCATCTTTACCCTGTTTTTTACTTCCAGATTGGAGTAGTAAATGGAAGTGAAGAATATCAGCTAGGAGTGCTGATGAATGCGGAAATGAAAAGTAAGCAATGATGATTAAGGACAAAATTTAAAGACCGTGTTTTTTTCTGCTACGCATATAAGTTTAAGCACGTCTTTAAAGTTTTTGAGGCGCTTAGTTTTTATGCTGTGAGTATCGCTCCGAATACAACTTATTATTAATTTTGATTACGCAAGGGAAATAGATCTAAGATGGAGCTAATAATTCTAATCAGAAAACGCGGGTAACTCGTACTTTTAAGAAGTAATTGAGACACAATTTAGTAACATTTATTATCTCCATTAACTCCCGTTTTACAATTTAAAAAGCGCGGAAATAGACAGTTTTGCTTTAATATATTTACACCATTACAGTGTCCTGTAACGCAAAGTGATTAAATCTATTTGTCTTTCTCTTAATTTTATAGTATTTCCCAAGATATACGATATAACGACTGCTCTGTTGAAGTCAGAAATAGACGGCGCTTTTGTAGATAGTTTTATAATCACAGCGCACCTGAATCTGATCAGGAATCATCCTGGACTTAGGATTGAGCGCACGATTGAGCACCCGGTTACCTACGGCATGGTTTTGGCTAGCAATTCATCCCGTATGGAAAGCTGCGCTAGGCGTTACGTCGAAAACTATCCAAGAAAAGTTTTTCAAAAGATTGCCGAGCATCTCAAGCCTCTTAAGGTAGGTTTTTACCTCATTCGTAATCTGTCGTTACATGGCGGGCTTTAAGCTCTAAGAAGCTGCGTTGAGTCAAAGTAGAGTCTAAGATCCCGTTCCAGCCGAATCGAATTCAATGAATCTAGTTCATGTGATTCTTTGAATTCGATCGCAGTAATTGAATTCGGATCGTCTCGACCGCAGGGCCGGATCTAGGATTTTTTTAGGAGGGGGGTGCACTCGTCTCTTGCTCTACTTCAACACCCTTAAACCACCATAATTTTTTTTTTTTTTGCAGAATACCAGTTGTATTAGAAAACCGCAGGTCATCTCGGGGGGGGGGGCGCCCCCTGCACCTTCTCCCTAGATCCGCCCCTGGACCGTTCTTCCCGCCTAATGAACCGAGAATAAAGGATGTCGAGGGGCGTTGATTCAGACACCGAACTTCATATGACCAGAACGAAATGCATAAATTTTATAATGTGGTTTACCGGAAAGCGTGTGTTTTTCCTTTTGAATGAAAATCAGCTTCTAAATGAATTCAGCTGGCCTATAAAATCAGCTTTGAGTCGGCCCAAATTCGAATTTGATTCGCTGCTCATGTCAGTAGTACAAAGTAAGGCTTTTGAATACAAAAAGAGGAAATCTTTTTTTTGTGCCAGAAAATTGCTTAAATAGTAATCAACAAGTATACCGATATATTTTTTGCTTATGTAGATAGTCAGCTCTGACTATTGTAAATTTCAAATAGTAATTTGTTTACGGTCAAAGTACTTAGGAGCTCAGTTCTGAACTCGTTTAATAGGATCCATACGTTCCAGATTGAATTGGAATTTAGAAGTGTTGGGTTTTGAGGAGCGGGAGAACCCGGAGAAAAACCTCTCGGCGCAAGGCAGAGAACCAACAACAAAGCCTTTAAGATGATTTATTGGTATTGCGTTGATTTTATAGATTCCATCGGATGCCATAAGCCAGGAACTAAAAGCCGCAGAGGAGTTGTTTTATGAAGAAGGAGCCTTTAAGATGATCGTGTACAGTGGAACAGCCATCTTGGCGGTGCTTTTTATCGCTGGATTAGTTTATGAGTTTCTAGCCAAGAAATACTTGCAGCGTAAGTAATCTTGCAACCTGGTCATCAATCATGCCCATCTCCGTTCTTCTGGCCATGGACAGCCTGAATGGACAACGTCATGTTTTAAATTGTTCCTTTTATATAGTGTGAAAAACAGGAAAATAGTCCGTTCCCTTTTTTTTTTTAAAGAAAAGAAAGTATATGTTTTTATGCTTTTTGACCATACATTTCACTTTCTGAACAGTCCAAAACAGTGGTTTGTTTCCAAAACGTGAAAAAAAAAAAAAAAAAGTCTTTTGGAGATGGTACTTATGACGCAAAAAAAACTAGAGTGAACTCTGGCCTTCTGTATGCTGTGTTCTTGTTACCGAATCCAAAGTTTTCTCAGTTAAATGCATTAGCTTGGACATCTTCTTCACCACCACCGTAATTAAGCTTGTGTTAGTGAGAGAAATTCGCATTACATCTTGACATAACAATGACGTGACTTTTTTTACATTTACTAGTTATAATGTGTTTCTTTCAGATACATGTAATATTGCTGGTTTGTATGTGGTGTCACCGCGGCCATGTTGGTGGTCAAGAGGACAAAAGCCATTTTCATGTTATTTCTTCGAAAAGAATTTTATTGTATTGACCACCAACATGGCACAAACAAAAAACAAACCAAGAGTGAAAAGCACTTATTACACTGGGACGCCAGACGGCATTTTCATCTTCTCGAAAACTTTACTATTTCCTTTTTTTGATAGCGAAACGGGCAAGAGAAGAAAACAATTACCTCAATGTTGAGATGACAAAGCAGACCAGTACAGATGGTCCGCCGCACCAGACTGAGGGAGACTTGGACGAGCTTTTGCAAGATTATAAGTCTTTTCATGACTCATGGGTAGAGAGGTGCAAGAGGCTTCATGGGAAACCTTATGGTTGCTAAGCTTAAGAACTTGTTTCTCCTTCAGCAAGTCAATTTGAAAGGAATTTCCCAAAGTAAAACCTTGCCTACCTACCAAACCAGTTTGTTTTCGGGTAAAGTATGCACTATTTTGGCATGCTTGTAGAAACAATCCTTCGAAAAGCGACTTTATAAAAGACAAGGTCAGAGTAACACGGAAACTTAAAGACAGTAAATGTAGCCGAGTTTAGAGAAAAAAAAGCCCTCTTCATATTTAACAATCTCGATTCTTATATCTACAGACTTACAGCTGCTTATATACACTGTCATGTATGGAATATAGACAAAACCTTGTTCTTTAATGAAATGTAGGAAATACCATGTACTCACGTGGGAATACTGGAAGTAAAGTCGTTAAAAAAAAAAAAAAACAAATGATGAAGCTGGTCGAACGGTAGGAGAACGGAAGCGTAGAAACCCAGCTGTGGAAGTGGGAGTTGAAAGAAATTACAGCTCAATGCTCAGCTAAGCTGAATCATTGTCAAAATAAAAGGCGGTGGTTTTTTATTTCAAAAGCTAAGAGAAGCTGCTTAGGAAACTAGGATGGTGCACTTGATCATAAAGTTAAAGAGGATGGACTTCGATATCTCGCGCTCAAATATTTATCCTGATGCTGAAAAATGTACGAAAAGTTCGACCTCAGCCGGCACTCTTGGTAATTATTAATTCCAAAGCTTTAATATAAAATCTTTAACTCCATATACTACCGTAGTAAATTGACAACCCTTAAGGCACTGTTATAGCGTGACTGATAAAGTTGTAACAGGGATCAAAACATAAACTTAAAACTATATGAAAATAAAATAAAATAAAACATAAACTTTAATCCGACTTCGCTTGTTTTATGCATTCCAACTAAACCATATCTGATAGTACATTTTTTTCGAATAAGCTTAACATTCTTAAGCGCTGAAATGACATTGCCTCTCCTAGAACGCTTTGAAGGAGCCTAGAATTTAGTTAACCCTTTTCGCACGGCTAGGATCGTTTTCGTCCCCATATGGAACGATGTATACTTTCCTCCCTGGACCCATTTAGCTTTCAGTTTAAGTTAATAAATTGGTAAGCAACAACGTCAGCAACGATAGATCTTTCCAGTGATACCTCGTTTTGGACATTCCGACCAAAAGGTAACAATCCACTGCCAATTTCGCTGTTTCACCATACCCCTCTTTGAAAATTAAATTTGTCCCTTTCCTAAAAAGTTAGCCAGCCACAATTTCATGCAAAGGAAAGACTATAAAGTGGGCAACAAAAGCGCGAATAAAGACGAAAGGCAAAGGAAAAAAGACAGCGAGAGAGAAAGATCGAAATAGATTAGCCAGAAAAATTGGCTTTTGAGTATGCGTGAAAAACAAAAAATGCTGTTTAATTACGTCAGATTAGTCGTAAAATATGCTTTTTTTCTTGCAAAACTAATTTTTAGCTATTCTTATACTAATTAGCCAAAAACCAGTTTAAAGAAGAGGAATTGGCGAAAAATGCGGATGTTTTCGCTACTCGCCGGCGGTCATAAAAGGGTTGATTTGCAATCGACAGATATGTGCGTCACCGTGCATGCAGTCAATAAACCCCTCGCGGTGTTTCTTTTCATACGCGCGTTCGACGAACTCTTAAGAGAAAATAAAGGGTCCGTGAACGAGATAGATTTAGAATGCATGACAAATTTGTTGTTAAGATTGAACTTTACACGAGAGCAGACAAACTAACCAACATAATTTGAACAACCCCACCCCCACCCCAGATGTCAATGTTATTTCTGCCATTGGGTCTCTATTGCTCCAGCTTACTCTAAATTCAGCCTTAAATAAGCAGCGAGCGGGGACAGAAGGGGGTACAATGCGAAAGCAAATTTATCAGATATATTTATGAAATAAATAACTAACGGCTTAATAACAGCGTTTCCACAAAGCAGGGGCAGATCCAGGATTTTTTTAGGAGGGGGTGCATTCGTCTCTTGCTCTACTTCAACACCAATAAACCACATGTTTTTTTTTTTTTTTGCCAGAATACCAGTTGTATTAGAAAACCGCAGGAAAAGTAGAGATTACTGGTTAAGTTTGTTAACAGACCTTTTTCACGATACCACTATCTTTGCACGCGCTTCAGAATTGATGGAATAAAAGCAATATCACGTGACAAAAGTTGCCAACTCTAGTCTTACAACGAGACGAAGAATACAGTGCAGTTGGGATTTCGACGAGGTTTACGTCATTATTGCTTGCTGTGAGGCCTTCCAGCCAGAATTTGCCATTATCGTCTTTAAAGATAGAAATGTTCAGAATCTTTATTTTCTGTTGTCTAGAATAAAAAACTCTATTTCATTTTCTAGGTTTTGGCAGATTTTACCACCTTCCCCCCTGAAAAACCACGTGACCACGCTTCTATCCCATGAGTCCTTAAGTCCGTACAAAAGTGGCGGATATCGTGAGTAAGGTCTGTTCTAGAGTTTACCGATAATAAAAAACCTTGCGTTCTCAAAGAAAATAAAGGCAAGATATGATTTCGTCAAGGTAAGCGTCTTGCCAATTTTTTTCTTTTTTTTTGCGCAACAACAATCGGAAAAGTTTTTTTTTTACTTTAACATAGATTCTCCTTTAGTACTTACTGACTTTCGGTCGTCGACACAAAAATTCCCAGGTGAGACCAGCTAAAAATAAGACTCCAGCTACCCCAAGGCCAATATACATGACAAGTTCAAACACTTGTTCTTGATAAAACAATCCTTCCGCAGCCTTGAGTTGCTGATTTTCATCGTCAGTAGGATTCTAAAAACAATAATAATGATATTAAATAAATATATCCATTAAAAAACGTTATATAATCTTAATTTGGTACAAACAAAACTCTACAACATCCAAATTAAGGTAATTTCGTTCTTGTATGCCCTTTACTGAGATATTATCCGGTTAAGTTAAGATAGGGAAGGTAGGGAATTGTTGCTACAAATTTAAAAAAAAAAGAAGAATGTTTCATTCATGGTGGTTTTTTTAAGGACAGCTTAACATGCGGCCTCTATGGTCAAATACATAACAACAAAAAAATGATCCAATGAGTTCTTAGAAGCAGATACGACTAAAACTATACTTGGCCTTGGTTTCACTCATTACTTATTGCTAAGCCAAGAAACGCAGCTATTAAGGGATTTCATCAGCTTCTGCATTGGAGGTGTAGACTCTGTTGATCTCTATTCATATTTTTCGATGAAATAGAGCGTAGTCACTCACTTGGCCAAAATAATTGTAGATTTCTTGAAACAAAAGAAATTGTCGAGGATAAGGTAATGCCTGGGCGGTTCGGTGGCCTTCTTAAAAAGTAATGACCCAGCGCGTAGCGCTAGGTTATAATTTTCAAGGTAGTTGAGGTGATGGTCTAAGTGCGTGGTAGGGGAGGGGGTTTGGAGAGGGGGATAACCGCAAGTTGGTGAAAGCTTCAAACGATGAGCTGCATGACGGGAAAACTCCTGTCATCATCATCATCTCAATTAGGTCGGTAAAAGCCGGTTAGTTACAAAATATGAAAGTAGAAATCACGTGTAACAGTAACAATTACTTTTGGCATAGTAACCAAGCGCGAAGCGCAAGGTTATTACTTTCAAGATGGCCGAGGCGGCTACCGTTTCTAACGATTACAATGAGACAGGAGCATGGGCTCCTGAATGAGATGATGAGAAAATTCTCTGGTGAGACCGCAGTCCCTATAATCAAGGAATTACAAATATGAAACCCGGCTATCTCAGGCTATTTCTACTTTTTTAACACCTGTATGTAAGTTTCATATTCAATACTAAATTGAATAACTTTGAACGTCGTGTAAATGGAACGCATCCGAAAAGATTTCTTACCTTGAGAGGGACAAGATTTTCAGCTATTATCTCAAACACCTCTTGTGGATGGTTATGCAAGAACCGTCGAAAGCAGGTTTCGAGTTTGGATGAATTCCTGGCCAATACTACTCCGTAAGTTATCGCGTGATCAATATATCTCTCGATTCTGATTGGTTCGTCCTGAATTAAGTTCAGGGAGTGAGTGATGACGTAGTTGTCCACCAATGCGCCGTCAATTTCATGCACTAACAGTGCTTTCGTCATTTGCATGACGTGTGGAAAGACTTAAGTACAAAGAAAAAAAATAATGTAAGAATGTAGGTTTAAAAAATCCTACCTACTTTAAAATCGTTCATTGTTCTGTCTTGCCGGAAGTACTTGATAAAAAAATAGCTAGAAAACCAATTTAATTAGTATTCCAATCGTGAGAAAAAAAAAATCGAGTAGAATTTTGTCGGCTTTGATTGTTGACTAGTCAACTCGCCCCTTCAACTATCTGCGGCTGGAAATCTCTCGATTTCCCTCTTTAAATAAAAAAAACTTAACAGCTAAGATCTTTTAGTGTAAGAATGACCAGACCTACATGCATTGTGCAAAAAGAAAATCAGCCCGAAACACGTGATCAAGACATTTTCCACCTAGAGATGGTCAATGATTATATCATGACGAACATGTACCTTTCATGTCAGCGTTCATGGTGACTCCCAGCTTAAACTCCTCACTTCCGTTAACAGCTCCGATCTGTGATAAAGTAAAAGAATAAAATTTTATTATGTGTCGCATACTTTTATATCTAAGTCAACAGAATATAAAATAACAAACTTGGAAATAACTAGGCTTATCTTAATCTCCAATCTCCCCCCCCCACCCCTTCCCGCTTTAAGAGTGGTTTTAATAAACGTGGTATACCTTTGAGCCATGAATTTTAAAAATCTGCACAGTGCTGGCAGATAACGATGCTGTAACAAGAGCTGTAAATATGGAGACAATGATGACTCCAGTTATAATCCAGATGATGCAGAACACTCGGCCCAAGGCCGACTTTGGAGAGCGGTCACCATACCTGTGTTAACACAGAAGTAAAGGTGAATTCATATGTGAAACAAATCGATCGTTTGTTCCTTTCTTGTGAAGTCACTGAAATATTTCTGATAGTCCTATGATAAGAAGGTCAGTCAATCATTCAACAAGTCAGTCAGTCAGTCCAACAGATGGTCAAACAGTTCTTCAGCTAGCTAGTAAATCAGCCAGCCATTCAGTGAGTCAGGTAAATAATTCATTTAATCAAGCAAAACAAGAAAAAAAACTTGTATAGGCTGATGTAAGATGTAAGAGTAACGGGATAAAGGCGAAGAGTAACGGGATAAAGGCGAAAGTACGAGGTGCGTACGAGTTCCTTATCATTTTTGCAGTGATGGAGTACTTAATCTGGACGGTATTACTTCCGAATTCAATATAAAACCGATAAGCAGTACATACCCTACTGTTGTCATGGTAACAAGAGCCCACCAGAAACCTTCCCAGGATCCTCGCAAAAACGGCGGTGGAAACTCGCCAGGGTTGCTGGGGTGGTCCTGACATGAAGAAGATAAAGAAAGGACTTTGAAAGTGTTCACTAGATTGACTGGGAAGTAGGTGATGTTGATGAATCATACACCGCATTGAAAAAAGGCAAATTTAAGTAACCAAGCTTTATTATTGAGCCTTCCTTTACAAAAATTACGCACCTTGGAAAGTTTGCGCAACTTTAAGTAGATTTAGGCCAACTTTAATTTTTCGAAAATCTCAATTTCCATTAGTTTTTTTAAGCTGGGGAAAAACAAATAAACAAAGAAAAAAGCTCACCAGAAACCAGATGATAATTCCTGAGAGTGACGCCGTCACAAGGATAAAAACCAGCATAGGCCAGGCGTTGGCGATGGTAGAGAACAGCACGTGTGTCTGCGTTTTGTTTGGAGGTTCATTGTGAACAAGAAGGATAACACGAGGAGCTCGTACCACACCGATAAACGGCCGATCCCTTGAAAAAAAAAAATTGGTAAGAAACTGAGATAAAAAAGCGAATTCACAAAAAGAATTATGAAGTGGTCAAATTAATGACATAAATAACCAGTCTATCGCGGTAAAAATGGCTGGTGGAGCGTTATAAGTAGGTATTTTTTGCTTTGTTTCTCACTTTTCCGAAAATTCGCTTCAGTAGAGAGAAAAACGTTGTTTTACCTAAATGAGGTTGCAGAGGAGTCATATCCATACAGAGGAAACGTCAGATCGAAGGTATCTGTCTGAATGTTTTTCTCGGCGTTCCGTACAGACTTCAGAAGCTTGCCAAACAAAACTTCCGTATCCTTATGACAGCAGCCTGCCACAGCAGCATTTAAAATACCAGGAAACATTCCATCCACAGTTAAGCCAGGGACTCCTTTGTTCTTTGTTTGATAAATTATTGAATACGGGGAGTACGGGTGCCAAGCGATGGAAATAGGCAGCCCGTTTGCACAGCGGTAGTCCAGGGAGTAATTTTTCGCCAGTTCAGAGTAATAGGGCAGCTTTACCGGAGCGCCCCTGCCCTCTAGCGCAAGGGATGACATAGGAATGTGAAAAGATGTTTCCGAGTGGTTTCTTTTCGACCAGTAGGGAAGAAAAATGGCGTCCGCGCCAGGAGAGAAGTTGTAGAGAGTGAAGACGACCACGAAAAGTGGAGACATTACTTTTAAATGTTCAGGAATGGAGCCTGAAATAATAACCAAATAATCAGAGAATTAATATTTAAGTTTATAGTTCTTATTTATTATTAATAAATATAAGCAGTTACAGTTATAAGCAATTAGTTTGGATTATTTCGAATGTTTTCAAAAGGTCACCTCTTGTCGGACACTTTTCTATTACTGCGACTTAAAGAACCCGAACTTTTAACATTAGGTAGCTTAATTAAGCAACGACGACGGTGACGTCAACGAGAACGGCACAAACGCAATTGGCTTAGATTGGCAAAACAACAACTTTCCACGTGCATCACGTTTTTTTGTACATAGTTTGGCCGTCATTGCACTACTACGACGTAAAACTGCCTAATTTCACGTTTTTTGAAGGAAGTGAAAACAAGACGACGACTTTCTTTTTCTTTTCCTGAACATTGATAGAGTCCGTTTTAAAATTCAACTCCAGAAAAAATTGCCAACATTTGACGAAATGAACGAGATGGAATAAGCGCTATAAAGTTTGAAGCAACGCGAGTTCATCTTTAAGTAACGTTTACGTAGCCGTTGCCGTCGCTGTTGCTGAGCTCTCTATTCTTTAGCGTGTTTGACCGCGTTTCAATAATAAAAGTTCCAAAAACAATGTTCCCTGACTAAGCTAACATATTAGCGAGAACAATGCCTCTGCACGTACCCCTCCACTTCTGGTACATTTTTCTGCCGTAAGAAATAGAACAAGCTAATTTCTGGTCATTTCATTCAATAAAAAACAACTGGTTTTCCTGTCTAACGCCCTTCCCTTTGCTCTAGGGAAGTTTGTTAGATATTACCTTTCTAATAGACAAAGTATGCTTGGCGCAGTACAATCAGTGAAACATAAATCTTGCAATGAGTTGACGACAAACACTTTCGATTTTGTTAATGCTTTCTTTTATTTCGCTGTAGGTACATTAAAAAGTAAGGTTCATTGGTCTTCCAATACGTGGAAGTTGGAAATCTTATTAGTGATAATATTTGATTTGATACTACTGGCAGCAGCTTAATTAGAAATAAGAAACTATTTACGACGACAGACTTAAAGCAAACGTTAATAAAACACTGACAAGATATGCAATCTGACAGATTTTGGTCATCCCTAGAAAAAACTAAAGGGTAACAATTCCAGATAATGTTGCACCCGAGGAAGACAAGTCGACAAGCTTTCCTTTTTATATGTGAATTTCGCCTACCTTTAACAAATTGAATGAGTTGGAATAACTTATTACTCAATAAATAATTAATAAAAGCGTATTCACGCTATTAGTAAGGACGTTTGGACGTTTTCACTTTTGTCGCCGTCGTGCTTTATTGAATCTGGATTTTTAAAAAAACATTTTATGCATTACGCCCTCTCTCTCCTTCTAATAAAAGTCAAGTTATTTAACCCAGTATTGTAGTAACAATGCTATGTGCTTAAGTTCGCGAGTCGTCTCAAGCCAGTTATTGTTTTAAATCACCTGTAATCCTGTCAAAGCAATTTTTTGCTGAATGCATTGTCATTTAAATCCGGGACTAGAATTTTTGTTATTCAAATCGCCTCAGAGTTTTCACCTGGTTTTGACGCGTTAAAACTCTCAGACAAAACTGCTTCCTTTTTTACTGCAAAATTTGTTTCAAAACTTTTTCATCACTTTGTAATTATAACTTGATATCATTATTTAGAGAATTTCACCTCGTTTAGCGGGCTGCGCCGGTGTTCAGTTTTAATAAATATCATTAATTTACTGCTGTGGCTTATACCTCCTCATTAAGTAAATGTTGATTAGCAGCCATGGTGTCGGCTCTGAAATACCGTCTGTCTGTTCGCGAATAAATTAAGCTTAGGACGAAGGGCCTTGATTAAGAATCTAAGCACAAGAATTGTACATGTACATTCTAACCACAAAGAGATATCTTAGTTTATAAAATAGTAATTAAAGTTTGGTTAAACAAGTTCGGCATTTAAAAAGAGGTTAGTTGAAGTCGTGGAAGTTTAAAAAACCGTTTAAGGTAAGAGTGAAAGAAAAAAAAGCAAATCAAACCTGGAGAAGAGCGGATGCCACTTCAAGTAATTAATTTTCTGTTCTGCTTGTGAGTACTGCAACTTTAAGCTTTAAACAGACCTGTAAAAGAGAACAAATGCACGATAATTTTAAATATGTATACATTCCCAAGCTTAAAAAGCTTGACCTGTTTACCTGTTAGACGGATAGGTTTAACAGAGAGCGCTGTTTGGATTTTACTTAAACACACAGCTTTCTGCAATTTAGGGCAAATTGTACCTTTTTATTAAATTGTCGTGTGCTATTTCGCCGGAATGTACCCCCTGTTGAGTGGCATGACATGATAGCAACTAAGTATGTTTAGACTTTTCCGGATTGATGGGTACAAAATAAAGACACTGCTTTTTCGATTCCAACTGAGAAGGACCAATGACCAACACAAGTCTTATCACGAACAGCATCTTTCGTTCTCTATACCTCTAAGTTCTCATTGTTTCATGTAACCAGCCTTTTGCACGTCGCTATTTTTGTCAACATGAAATTCATTTAAAGGGCTGAAAGAGGTCAAGCTGAAAAACATACAAGCAGAAAAAAATATCATGCTTACCGCTTTTATGTAAACAACTCCATGATTGCGTTTTAAAAAACAGACTGCGGAGTAAATTTTGATGAACTTAATCCCCCTGAGAGCCACTACAATGATAACCCTAATTAATATTGTACGCGCCTAAGGACAATTGTTAAAACAGTAAACGCACAGTAAATGAGGTTGCTATTTGTTATCGTAGCCGCACGTTTTGATGTGTCGAATATCGCATTAGAATGGATTGGAAAAACCTTTACCTTTTGATTTAAAAAAATTATTTTAAAGATAACAGCAAGCTCGGTCGGAAATTCTTTTGAATGTTTTCCTTTGCTGCAGTTGATGAACTGTCACTCAATCTATTTCTTCATCTAGATTTCATTTTGTGTTAAAGGTAAACATGGTTATAAGCCAGTTCTTTTTTAAAAGAGTTGTACATATGTTTTAAGTGAAAGCTTTTAGACTCCGGATGTTTTGCGCTTAACCATGTAGTTCAACGCCATAAAACCCTAACTAGCTTAACTATGGTTCACCAATTGTATTGTTACACATGTATATCACTTAAAAATGTAAAAGTAATTACAAAAGTGAATTTATCAGTCCTTTGGTCAAAATTCTTTGAATGTTTTATTAAGAAATAAACAAAGTATTTCAACATGTTTTTGCTCACTGCTCATTGGGTGATTTAAAATTGTTTTTATTACCCCTTTAATATTTCGCACAGTGAACATTGCTGTCATTCGTGTACTCTCTACGACACTCTAGATCTTTGACTCTCTATCCACATCTTTCTTGCGATTTTTAAAGTGCTTAAGCAGTTACGCACTTCGGGTTTTGGGTGTTCGAGTTGTAATGCGATTTCGAGGACCTCAGAACATTTCTATTGCCTTCATTAACAGGAATCATGGCGCGACTGGTCTGCGTTTTGATGTCCTCCCCAGAGTTTTTCTCCAAACATGTACATGCCTCCTCGATGTTGTCAAAAAGATCCCGTACTTCTTCTTGGACACTCGCCTGGTCCTTTCAGGTATAAAGATTTTTCACAGCACGAAACAGTAACTTTACTGTTCGATAAAGCTGGCGTAATGCTACCGTAAAGACACTCTTAAAACACTCGTAAACATCTTTCACGAACCGTATACACCCTTCCACTGGGTCAAACATGAACTGTTGGTTAACCTTGCATGAGGTCTAGGCTGTTTCTTTTTCTGGAAAAAAGATATTTTTCAGCTTACAGAGTGTCCATTGTAAGCTACTGGCCGGGCCATGGATAGTCTTATTGAATTTTTTCAGTTGCCTGGGTCAGCCAAATTAAGATAAGCTCATTCTCTGGGACTGCTGCCTCGTGGTTCCCAGCGCCGGAACGGCTTCACATCTCCTGTTTTGGAGCTGGTGCTGAAAAGAGTGCTTTGCACTTGCCGGTCGCTGACTCGCCTGGGTAGGAAACAACCGGACGTATAACCGCCGATACACGGCTTTGACCGTGCACAGACTTGACAGCTATGTTAAGTAAATGCACCCTAATTAGGACGAAACAGCTGTCCATTACTGCCACTGCCCGGGTAGTGGCAGAATGATTTTTATTCCAATCAGGCCTCGGGTCGATGTGCGTGTAAAAATGCTGTTGAGTTTGTTCTAATGTTCGATAACCTTTCTTTTGTAACTTCTATTTTTGTTCGTTTTGTTTTGTTTTTTGTCTTTCGTTTTCGGTGCTTTTTTTTATTTTTTATGCTTTATTTTTTTGCTTCTTTAATTTGTGTGTGTATGTTTGTTGCTATTGAATTGGTCTATGGTATTTGAGTCGTACCCGACGTCGTACTCCTGGGTGGGGTATCCACCATGCTTTCTGAAACTCGTACCCTACACTACACACCAAAACATGCGATTTTACTTTTCCAGATATATGCATGGTTGCCATATGAAACAGTTATTGTTGCTCAGTGTTCCTACAGTCTCAATTAAAAGTGGTCAACATTTCAAATAAAGCATTCGTTAAATGGAAACAAGATACTCAGCATGCGAAAAATGGCTTACTGAGAGAAGGCTGAATCTATAACATATCTCGTTCTTGCTAACTAAAAACACTGTAAAATATGTCTCATAGAACACATCAAATGTTTCCTCAAAATTCAAACATACCAGGTACAGTGCTATTTCGGCGACATCCAAACCATCACAAGCTGCTCAGGGAAGGACTATAATAGAATTTTTCAAATTGCAATGCGATGGTGACGCTTTGACCGACCATTAAGGGGGGAATACTCTGTGCGCACAAACGATGGCTGTCTGTGAAATAGCCTCTTTTAAATTACCAATAAAAAGGAGTAACATTTATTACCATGGTATCAACATGGTCAAGGTCATGGTTCTTGGTAACTACAAGGGAACCTCGATTTAACGAGTTGCCATTAAGGGACTAGGAAAATTTATTCGTTATATCGAAAACCTCGATTTAACGAATTTATTGGAAAACACTCAAAATGTTCGTTATATCGAGGTATAGTTAAGGATTAATTTCCAAAGCCTAGCATTTCCGCATATCAACAATTTCTGTAATAAACATTTGTATACGAAGCTATTGTCTCAGTTCAGAGCTTTACATAGCTACGGCAATTAGAAACACAAGAATAGGCTACTGTACACATAAGTTTTATCCTTGTGGTCTGTTTCGCATTCATCTTTGGTCAGTTGTTGACATTTATTCGTTATATCGAAGTATATTTTACTTTTGCGTTTCTGAATTGCGTTCGTTATAACGAGGATTTCGTTAAATCGAGGTTCGTTACATCGAGGTTCTGTTCCATACATTTTGTTGTAATTTCGGCCTGGCTGAAGAAAATCTTTCGTTACGCCGAGGACGTCGTTATATAGAACCGGTTGGTAAGAAGACCGGTGACTCCAGTAACGGTACTGCGTGCCGCCAGGTACCGATCGGTGTCACGGAGTCTCTTTCGCATTTTGCCTGGAGAAGTACACCCAAAAAAACACCTTAATATAGTTGAGTCGCAAAAAAACTTTTTGCTTAAGCCCCCTACCACCTGAATCTCTCTGATCGGTTGATGCTTTGGGTTAAACAGGTTCAGCCATGTTGCACTTGTATTATGACAGAGGAAAATGATTTTTCACCAACTTATTTACAAAGTGACACACGCTTGGGCAAATATGTAAACATCACTCTTCGGTAATTTCTACACCAATGTGATTGTTTTAAGTGCAGAAACACGTAGATATAATTCTTTAAATAATTCCAACTTTCCAAGTCTGATATGCAATGCATTACTTCAGTTGTTACCAGACTGATTGTTATAATTGTTTCACAAGAAGAACAGTAATATCTTGATCAGCTACACAACAAAACTTGTCTTCTTTGTTCAAGGGACAGAGTAAGATTATTAGCCTTGCCGATATTAAGAATAATCGTAGTAAGAATTAGAAACCAAGAAGCAAGAGAAAAAGTTTTAGTTATTTGTCGAGTTATAGCAAGCAGGGAAAACAAAAGAGCTTTACATTTGATTCACATCGTATTATGTGCAATTTTTACCTTTAAAAAGGAATGAATATGATTAATTCAGTTTTATCCTGTATCTTCATTTGTATGCTGTCTGTGACAAGTCAACAAATCCGCTTCGCAAGCAATTATCATAGTTACGTGAGACTACTGGATTTGATATAACGTTAAGTATCACGTCTCTATCGCATATATAGTTCAATAGAAAAGTTACAATCAACACGCCCTTTCCCTACAAATTTTTAAGAGGGAAGAAAAATATTTAATAGTTTTCACAATTATGTGTTTGATATCAGACGATCGACCGAGTTCTCTATAACAGACAGCCACAGAACTTACAGTCTTAAATTCACATCTTATATATTAAAAGAAATATTTCTTTTCGAAAGTAAAAATGGTTAAATTACCTGCCCTTACCCCA